CTGCAACACAATGAGCAACAGGACAATAACCGGGTTCTTCATAAAACTAGTTTTACAAGGGGCCTCTCTGGTGGCACAGGTGTTAAGACGCAGCCTGTGGGCCTCACCTGATGGCACAGGCGGTTGAGCACAGCGCTGTGGGACTGACCACAACCTCTGCAGCGCCAGTTCAATCCCAGCCAGCGAGGGACCCACAGGGTGCACAGACCTCTCCTGTCTCGCCGGCTGCTCCCCTCAGCAGCGTATTTTGTCATTCTGCCTGTTCTGTTCCCAGCTCTGTCTCTGGTGAATCCTCTCACCCTTCCACGCATTGGCCTGTGCCCCAGTTCTTGTATTGAATAAATAAATAAATCTAAAAAAAAAAAAGTTCCTTCAATTACTCTTGATGTCGTGGTAACTCCATACTTCTTACATTCCTTTATAAACTTGCTTAAGGTCACACAGGTTGAGCTGTGAGTAATAAGTAATCTCATGGTCTGTATGTAACTCCACAGGAGCTGGAGGGTTCCTTAGAGCTGTGTTAATTTAGTGGAAAACACTCATTGCAGTTATGAAAAAAAAATGAATACATAAAGAAACTGAGTCCTCTTCAGTGTTCTCCAATTAAATTCTCAGTGCTTTGAGTAATGAAGTTGGGGGTCATGGAAATGAGATGACCCTTCTAAGAAGCAGCAATTCTTCACTCCAGTAATACTGAGAAAATAGATTGAAAACACTGACCTTTACCCCATCCGGGTCAGACTCTTACAAAGTCCTGTTTGGATTCAATTCAACCCCTCTGTGTCCAGGTTAACTGCTCTCCTATGGGCCTCTTGGAATGGTAATAAATTCTACAGTCCACCTGTCTGGTCATGCTGTGCCTGGCATTAACCTCCATTGCCCTCAGGAATGCCATAAATGTGTGACCAGGACACCACAGAACTGATTTTCTAGAGTGTTCTTTTGGTGCGTATTTGGAGGAAAGTCCTATATCTGACTTCATTGTCAGCTCTCCAAGTGGATCCCAGCATGTTGATTTGATACATTGCAAAGAGATGCCACAAAGAGTTAGTCCATCGTGTCACATAACCACTATTTCTGTTTTTGTGGTGAGAGCATGTAAGATACACTCTTTTAGGAATTTTCAGATACAGAATACAGTATCATTAGCTACATTACCAGGCTGCTCATTGGAAACACAGGATTTGCTCATGATCTTAGTGGAAAAGCTCTTACTTTCTCCCCCTTGTGGGTTCCCTGTGGTTTGTCATATCTGGTCTTTATTATGTTGCCATATGTTCCATTAGCCCCCAGTTTTTCAGTTTCCATCACAATGGATGTTGACTCCTCTCAAATACTTTCTCAGCATCAATTAATATGATCCTATGGCTGCATCTTCCCTTTTACGTAACCGAATTATATAGCTTGATTTTCAAACCATCCTTGTCTCCCTGGTATAAACCCCACATGGCTGTGGTGTATGGTGGTGCATGATCTTTTGAACACAATGTTTAATTGGATTTACTAAGATTTTGTTGAGGACTTTTGCATCTATGTTCATTAGGGAGATTAGTCTGTAGTTTTCATATGGGGGGGTATCATTGTTTTTGGCGTTGTGGTGATGATGGCCTCATCAAATGTTTGGTAGTCTTCCCTCTTTCTCAAACTTTTGAAAGAATTTGAGCCAGATAAGTATTAGCTCATCTTGCAAGGCTTGGGAGAACCCACTCATGAAGCCATTTGGTCCTAAACTTCTGTTTCTTGGGAGTCTAGATGACTGTTTCAATTTCCTTGCTTGTAGTTTTTCTGTTCAGTTTTCAATTTCTTTCCTATTTAGTCTAGATGGCTGTATATTTTTTTAAGAATTTGTCCATGTCATCTAGGTTATTGAATTAACTAGGTTAGGAATGTTCACAGTAATCTCATATAATCCTGTGAATGCCTGAGATGTCTGTTGCAATTTCTTCTCTTTATTATCTGAATCTATTTATTTGCATTTTCGCCCTTCTTTTCTTAGTGATTCTAGCTAACAGTTTGTTTATTTCTTTATTTTTTCCAAGAACCAGGTTTTAGTTTGATTAATTTTCCGGACTGTCTTTTACAACTTTTTCAATTTTTTTTCTGCTTTAATTTTTATCATTGTGTTCCTGCTATTGCTTTTGATTTTATTGGCCTTTTTTTGAGAAGGTTCGTTTTTTAATAAAAAATATCACAGATTTGACTGTTTAGTTTCTAAATTCCTTGTTGGTTATTTTCCCCTTATGTTTCTTCAGGTATTTTGTCTTCATCGAGCATTTACAGGATGCAAAACACTGAAGTTATTAACCTTTCAGTCCATTTGTATACAGAGTTTTCTGTCCACAGAGTGTGTACATTGCTGCATTACGAGGCAAGATAATAGCTCTAAGAAGCATCTGCTAGATTGTGTCCTGTTATTTAATATTGATTTGAACTGAACTTGTGAAATGTTGGTATAAGAACTGTGATAGTTTGATGTTTATTGAAATAACATGTACTTAATGTATTTTTGCTTCTTAACGATATCTTTCTTTTCTTCCTTTTTTATTAATTTTTTTCTTATATCATTGTAGTCCCCATAGGTCTCTTACATGTATCTTTATAGTGATTCCTCATTCTTGAAATTAGATATATAATAGATAAATCCAAATATATCCTAAGTCAGTGTGGAAAATCAAGAAATTTTTTTTGGCCTTTTAATGAATTTTTTATTTTTTACATCAATGTTCATTTTTAAACAATATTTGCTTCCCCCCACCCCCTCAGGTGTAGTCCCCATAGATTCCTTCCCCAATGCACATGTGCACCCTCACCTCAGCACCTCCCTCCCTCTCTCTGATCCCTCTCCCGCTGCCTTCCCTGCAGGATGTCTCTGGTTTATAATTGTCTGTTTTTGCTTTGTTGTGTTTTGTACTGTTATTATTTTTTTACACTGATGGCTTACTTGCTTCCCCTATGTTCCTGCTATAAGTGAAACCATCTGATATTTATTCCTTCTAGATTTTTTCACTGAGCATAATTACTTCTATCTCCATCCACGTTGCTGTGAATGGCATCAGTTTCTCTTTATTGATTGCTGAGTAATATTCCATTGTGTATATGTACCACATCTTCTTGATCCAGTCATCTACTTTTCGGCATTTAGGTTGTTTCCAGGTTTTGCCCATTGTAAATAGTGCTGCAATAAACATAGGGGTGCAGGTGATCTTTTGAATCACTGTTTTTGTGTCCTTAGGGTAGATCCCAAGGAATGGAATGGCTAGGTCATATGGTAGCTCCATTTTTAGTAGACTGAGGAGCCTCCAGACAGCTTTCTGTAGTGGTTGGACCACTTAGCACTCCCACCAGCAGTGCAGGAGAGTTCTTTTTTCACCACATCCAACATTTGTTGTTGCTAACTTTTTTGATATGTGCCATTCTAACTGGTGTAAGGTGGTATCTCAATGTGGTTTTCATGTGCATTTCCCTGCAAATCAAGAGTTTTTTGTAACCCTCCACCACACCGCCTGCTGTGGCCCCTTCTGCCTCTCCTCCCCATCCCATCCTCTGTGCCTGCCTGTCCCCCTTGGTAACCATTATATTCTTTTTCCTGAGTTCAGGATTTAGACTATTCTTTGTGTATGAATGCTTTTTGTATTTATAGTCCAGGAAACCATCTTATATCTGTCTTTCACTTTTTGACTTAATTTCACTAAAGATAATCACATCAAGTTCCATCCACTTTGACACAAATACCACTATTTCCTCTTCACATCTGTGCAGCCCCCACTGAATCTATAATCCACAACTTTCCTGTCTGGATGTCCATTGAAGGGTACTTGGGGGTTGGAGGGAATTATCAAAATAAGGACAGAGGGCATGATGGGAGTGTACCAGGATGCAAAAGAAGCCTAAAGGCGGGTGGCCACGAAGGAGGGCAGGAAGCATGGCTACAAGGAAGAGTCCTCCTGAGGCTTTCAGTGGTGAGAGGAAAGACCTGCTCTGCACTGCAGACACAGGGCTTTGCTGTCACTGAGGAATAGGAAGGACATGGTGATTTACTCACAACCATGGGGTGACTCACAGGGCCAGAGCCACAATTAGACCGCAAGTACCTGAACATGGCTCCGCAGCTCCCACCCCCTGTGAAGCCAGAGCAGGACAGAAAGCGGCAGCCACACACGTGGGTACTTCCTTCTGCAGGCCCTCACGGCAGCGCTAATTCCCTTCCTAGACTATGTCGGTCACAGAAAACCAAGGAAGAAAAGCACACTTGATGCAGTGACTGTACTCGTAGGGTAGATAAGGACACGGTTAAATCAACAGGTATTGAAAGATAAAGGGCATGAAGTCACTGTGGTGGCAGCACCTGAGGGAACACCAGAAGGAAGAGGGTGGTGTGGCCGCAGGGCAGCGTGTGGGGAGCAGTCCTGAAGACCCTGAAAACAGGTCAAGTGGCAGCCAACACAGCAGCAGGGGCCGCCCGGCCTATCCACCGCAGCGTGACATGCAGGGGAGTGAATCTGGAGCAGAGAGATGGCATCTGCAACACCAACAAGTGATCCCTGCCGAGTCTGGAGGGACGTGGTGCATGGGCAGTGGTCTCACTGGGCGTGGATAAGGTGCCTCTTTCACATCTTCTCCTTATGTGCTCTGAGCTCTCTGGATCTTCAGGAGTCCCTCACAGCAGCAAAACACCCAAGACATACAGTCATCTTTGAATGGAAGGCCTGGCAAAATTCACGTCTCCACCTTGGCTCCACGTTGGCCCGGCCAGGGCGCTGCATGACTTCTCAAGGCTCATTTCACCCTCCAGTAGGAGCAGGACTTCCTCTGATCTCGGTATCGGCCATAAGGAGTTTAAGGCAATTCAGAGGCGTCCTGGGTACAGCTAGTCTGAGCCCACAGCAGGTGTCCTGCCAAACGTCATTTGTCAGTAGGTTTGATCAGCCCCAAGGTTTCCTGATATCACACATGGACACTGATGTGCTGAGTTATAGACAAAAAGGAGGCAGGTGCTGAGATTAGGTTTTTCTGATGAGAAGCCTCTGCAAGGCCATCTTGATGTCCCTGTTCCTCAGGCTGTAGATGAAGGGGTTCAGCATGGGGACGACCACAGTATACACCACAGAAGCCAACAACCCCTGCCCAGGAGAATGGGAGACAGTTGAACCAAGGTACGCCCCAATACCTGTCCCATAAAATAGACAAACTACTGACAGGTGAGAGCCACAAGTGGAGAAAGCTTTGAACCTTCCACCTGCAGACGGGACCCTCAAGACTGAAGAGACAAGCTGTGTGTAAGAGAAAAGGATCCCAGAGACAGGGACACCACCAAAAATAGCCCCAATAAAATACATTACTATGATGTGGAGGGAGGTATCATCACAGGCAAGCTTGATTAGTTGGGGGGCATCGCAGAAGAAATGGGGAACATCTACATGTGTGCAAAACGTGAGCTGTGAGATCAGCAAGCAGTGCACCTGGGACTCCAGAAGGCTGACCCAAAGAGACGCCAGCACCAGCAGGCCACAGAGGCGCGGGTTCATGGTGGTCAGGTAGTGCAGCGGGTGGCAGATGGCCACAAAGCGGTCATAGGCCATAACGGCCAGCAGCATGTTGTCCAGACAGCCAAAAAAATAAAAAAGGGATAACTGAATGAGGCAGTCCATGTGGGAGAGCGCTCTGCTGTGAGTCTGAATGCCTGAAATCATCTTTGGGACAGTGGCAGAGGTAAAACTTATGTCAGCCACAGACAAGATGGACAGGAAAAAGTACATGGGGGTGTGCAGGTGGGGGTCAGCGGTGATGGCCAGGATGATGAGCAGGTTCCCCATCACGGTGACCAGATACATGGACAGGAACACGCAGAATATCAGCGGCTGGAGTTCGGGGTCCTCTGAGAGCCCCAGGAGGAAGAATTCCACGACACCTGTGTGATTGTGTGGCTCCCCAAGGCAGAGACAACTTTTGGAAACATAAATGACAGTGGACAAAAGTGCTGTCAGTGTGTGTACACTTTGGCCTCAGCTACCGGGAGCACAGGCGGGAACTACACACATTTCAGTGTTTCTTGCTTGTGGCTAACCAGTTCCTAGAACTCATTTCTTTGTCTTCCTACCATCCACCTGTTCCTACATGAGTCCACTTTGGAGAGAATGGGCTAAGGAATTACAGAAACAAGGAGATGTGGAGCTATAAAAACAACCCAAAGTCACCCTGGGAAATCTGCGCACCCCTTTAAAGGAAACGAACAGAGCAGGATCTGTCCAGGGTATGCCTTTAAAATTGCCTCTTCTAACCACAGGGCACTAAAAGCGATCCAAATAATTTATTTTATGCAAATGCAAGGCAGTTAATTCTCTTGATTTAGACTATTTATGAGCACCCTAAGATCTCTGGAACCAAGCAACTGGCTCTAATTTTTTCTATGGATGTTTGAGCTGGTACCGGGTTTAAGTCATGCCATTTCCTGTTCCCCTCAACCCAACAGCTGGGCTACATGTGAAACTGCATCTTAGAGCTATAAAATAAGTCCTGCAGAGGTGCACACAGCTGGTGGTTACAGTGAATACTGTGCTGCACAGTTGGAAGTTGTTCCTTGAAGCTTAGGCTGTATAAACCCTGCATGTTAAAAATAAATTCCTATGGATGCTGATTTTAGCTTTACTGAAGGAAACGATAGAAAATTGAACAACATGGAAATAACCTCCCTTATTGTGTCCAGGGGTAGAAATGAACATATAAAGAAAGATACAAAAAGGAAACTGGGACTTGGGTGAGGAAATGAAATGAAAAGAGGCCACAAGTGGACCCACCTGGGGCTCCAGATTTACAGAGGAACTTCCAGAACACAGACGACAGGCTCCTGAGCATCACGGGGCGCACGCACCCCACTCACCTTCCCGCTGGGACACCCCAGAGCCCCTCTCCTCAGGCCAGGGATGGGCCCGGTGCCCTGGCCCGGAGTGACCTGCCCCGCTGGGCCTCGGACCTGCTGTTGGGCCTCACTAGCTGCTGCAGAAACCCCTTCACTGGTGACGTTTCTGGCGGCCAAGGCAGGGAGTGTCCCCTCCCCGGCCGCTCTGACCCTCCTGGACACGCGCTGGCCGCGGTGCTGGACGGTGGTCAGCACAGCAGGGCGGGGTGGGAGGAGCCCCCCGCCCCAGACCTGAGCCCAGGTAGCCGGTGCCCAGTTGCCCTCAATTTCTGTCCAGCTTGGGGCGAACCAGAAGCCCCCGACAGCCCTCGTCCAGGATGGATGAGCAGGGACCCTGCACAGACGCCTGAGGGCACTGACCCTCTGCGCTGTCCCAGCCCTGCCTGGTCCTGGCCCTGCCCGCTCCCCTGAGAAGCACCCACAGGCACAGGTTTCTGTGAAGCCACCTCAGGTGCAGCCTCCAGGGGCTCCTGACAGCCAGATGGACTTGGAAATGGGAGCCCAGAGGCCCACAAGCACCCACACCTGCCAAAGCCCACGCCCTGCCCCTCCCAGCGCCCGGAGCCCCCCACCTGCTCCCCCAGACGCCACAGGGGCGGCCTCCCCCGGGTGGACACAGGCGGGGCGCGCCTGCCCCCAGGGCCCCCACGAGGACCCCAGGTCTGCGGGGCTCTCGCAGCTCCCCTCACCCCTGCACAGTGTCCCCTGGTCTCCACATGCGGGGCGCGGGGGGCTTGGCTCCTCCATCCCCCTCCCTGGACAGGCCCCTGGTCTGAGGGCGCTGGTGGGGCGCCCCCGACGCGGAGTCCACACCCTGGGCAGGACAGAGCCCGGCTCCCCGGAGCCCGCACAGCCCTGGCCGACGCCCCCTGTCTGCCTCGCGCCCGGGGCGCAGCCCGAGGACCCGCCCCGCCGCCCCGCCCGGCCACTCACTGGTCTGCGCCCGGCCCCGGCGGCCCCGGGCGGGCTGAGGCTCCCGGGCCCCTCCCGGCGGGGGCGGGGCGAGCGCGCGGGCTGCGGGCGGCGGGGAGCCGGCCTCGGGCATCCTCCCTGCAGGCGGGGCGCCGGGTCCGGGGAGTCTGCCTCGCGCTGCCCGGAGCCCGGCCTGGCTAGTTATCGCCCCGGCGGCCGCGAGGGACCGAGGACGCGGCGCCGTGAGCCCGGCCGTCCCTGGGGACCCGCGCCCTGGAGACACCCCGGCGCGTGCAGGGGGAGGCGGCCGGGGGCCGAGAAGGGCAGGGGAGGGCTGTCCCCCAGGAGCTGACCCCGCGCCGGCTTCTGACTCCCCACGTCAGAGATTTCAGCAAAACACCCTCTATTTTTAATGGAATTCATGGTCTTTTAACTAAGACATTTGGAATATCACTATTCCTCATGTAAAAATTTTATTTTACTTTTTTTTTAGTATATGAGCTGCCAAAGCAAACACATTTTATTTTTTAAAGATTGTTTATTTTTATAGAAGAGCTGGGGTACAGGCCAGGTCCGAGGGAGGGTGAGAATGTTGACTAGAGACAGAGTCGGGAGCAGAACAGGCAGACAGACCGAAGACACTGCTAGGGTAGCAGCGGGCGAGACAGGAGTGGTCTGCTTTGCCGTGTGGGAATCTCCCTGGCCAGCCAGGAATCGAACCCGCACTGCAGAGGCTGGGGGCAGCTTCACAGCGCTGAGCTCAACCCACTGCGCCACCGGGGAGGTCCACTCGTGTAAAAATTTTAAAATAAAGTATTTTACAGTGAGAATCTGAAACAAATTCCACCTTTTCATTTAGAATTTGTGTCAACGTGTTTATTTACACGACAGCCCCCTCTAATGCCGAGCTTCATCACTGAAGCCGTGGATGAGGAAGATATCTGCTCGGACACCCCCATTCCGAGCTTCCTCTGTTTCCCAGGGAGCCAGAGCGTTCACATGACCCAGTGAGGCTGCGGCTCGGGCAGTGGCTGCAAGCTCTGGTCAGGGCCTGCTGTGCACTCAGCTGCAGGGGAAGGACACAGCTCATTTGCTTGGCCAGCCAGGGCATCCTCCATTCTTGGCCACCCGGACTCTCATGGTCACGTGGACACATGTGCTTGTCCCCACTCAACAGAACAGGTGGCAGGTGGAAATAAGGTTCGCTGCACTTCTTCCTGTGTCCGCGAGGGACAAGAAGAATGAAGTCTCAGGTTTTTTCAACCCCTAATTTCAGAAGAATCATCGTTTTCCTGAGTTTTCATGGGTGGAGAGACCCCTAGGCCTGGGCACAGCCGCGAGCGGGGTCTCCATGGCAGGGCAGAGGAGGTAGAAGGCCATCGTGAGCACACCGCGTGGCCCGCTGGGCAGGATTCACCGTGTTAGAACATCTGGAAGTATCACAGATGCTGGAAAGATGAACCCCGATTTCCCAACTTGGTCCACAAGCCATCAGACTGCCATGTTCTCAGCCACATGTCCCCGCGGAGGCACTGACTTATGGGTAGAGACGCCCTGGATTTGGTTCTTTTTTTTTTTTTAATTATGTTTTTATAGAGGCATGTTTATTTATTTATTTGTTTGTTTGTTTGTTTATACATGCACTGAGTACAGTCAGAAGCGAGGGAGGGTGAGAGAATTCACCAGAGCCAGAGCGGGGAGCAGAGCAGGCAGAGGGACCGAAGTACACTGCTGAGGGGAGCAGAGGGCAGCAGGAGAGGTCTGCGCACCATGTGGGACCCTCCTCAGGTGGCCGGGGAGCAGCCGGGGATCGAACCGGCGCCGCAGAGGCCGCGGGCAGCTTCGCAACCCAGAGCTCAACCGCTGCGCCACCGGGGAGGCCCCTGGATTTGGTTCTTGTGGGTTCACAGCATTTTGCGTTCTGACATGCAGGCAGGAGCAGGCCCGCTCATTCCCGCCACTGGACCCGCCTGTCCTGGCCGCGCCAGGGGAGCTGGTCTGCTCCCAAGTGTCGGGAAACTTCCGGGACTTCTGATCTCTGTTTTTCATGAAGAGCCACTCTTGTTCCAGATGTTTTTTCTTTAGACTACTTTGTGTTTACAGATTCTAAAGTCTCAATGACTTTGCTTTTGACCTGTCTGTCCCAGCTTTGAGCGATCAAAATGAGGGTTGTTCCCAGCCTGTCCTCTCCTAGCTACATGGCCCTCCTAGGTCAGAGGACCCCAGATGAGTAACAACATTTTCGTATCTAGTGTCCCCAGACTGGGCGGCAGAAGCTTTGCTACTCAGAGAGTAAATCTGACATGAGAGAGGCCACAGGCGCATGGACTATGCTCAAGATCCCTTATCACCAGAAAGATGGAAACCAAACCCACAGAAAGAAATAACCCAAAAGACACACCCCTCCTGATGAAAGGACAACATTGGAGTCGGCTGTCATTTAAGTAAACACGTCTGACTGACATTAAGTGAAAAAATGGAATTCATTTCAGACTCTTACTGTAAAATAACCTGTTTTAAAACTTTTCCATGAGGAACACAGTGAATTTCCAGATGTTAGCCAAATGATCACGAATTCCATTAAAAATAGAAGGTGTTTTCAATAACAAAAACAAAGAGACACCCCACCAACTGGGTGAACATTTTTGCACACAACACTAATGATAAAGGACTGATCACAAAAATCTGCAAAGAGCTGATGAGACTCAACAACAACAAAGAAAATAATCCAGTCAAAAAAATAGGCAGAAGAGCTAAAAAGAAACTTCTCTGAAGAGGAAATGCAAATGGCCAAGAGGCCTATGAAAAAATGTTCAACATCACTTGTAATCAGGGAAATGCAAATCAAAACTACCATGAGATACCACCTTACACCAGTGAGAATGGCACATATTAAAAAAACTAGCAACAACAAATGTTGGCGAGGGTGTGGAGAAAAAGGAACTCTCCTGCACTGCTGGTGGGAGTGCAAACTGGTCCAACCACTATGGAGAGCTGTGTGGAGATTTCTGGACCTACTAAACATAGAGCTTCCATAGGATCCAGCAATTCCACTCCTAGGTATTTACCCAAAGGACACAGAAACATCAACTCCAAAGAGCACCTGCACCCCTATGTTTATAGCAGCACTGTTTACAATAGCTAAGCTTTGGAAACAACCCAAATGCCCAAAAATAGATGACTGGATCCAGAAGATGTGGTACATATATACCATGGAATATTACTCAGCATTCAAAAAAGATAAACACATGCAATTTGCAGCAACATGGATGGCGCTGGAAGGGATCATGCTCAGCGAAATACGCCAGAAAGAAAAAGAAAAATACCGGATGGTCTCACTCATAGCAGGAATCTAGAAAACCTAAATAAGGGACCAGGAAAAAGAATAACTATAAGAAAGAAAAAAATCAAAATCAGCAAACAACTATGAACCAGAGACACTCCATGGGGGGTAGGGAGCAGGGAGGGGGATTGGGGTCAAAATAAGGGGGTCGCAATGTATGGGGAATATAAAAATAAAATTTATTTTAAAAAAATAGAGGGTGTTTTGCTGAAATCCCTGACGCGGGGAGTCAGAAGCCTGCTCGGGGTCAGCTCCTGGGGGACAGAGCGCCCCGGCCCTTCCCGGCCCCCGGCCGCCTCCCCCTGCACGCGCCGGGGTGTCTCCGGGCGCGGGTCCCCAGGGACGGCCGGGCTCAGGGCGCTGCGTCCTCGGTCCCTCGCGGCCGCCGGGGCGATAACTAGCCAGGCCCGGGCTCCGGGCAGCACGAGGCAGACTCCCCCGGACCCGGCGCCCCGCCTGCAGGGAGGATGCCCGAGGCCGGCTCCCCGCCGCCCGCAGCCTCCGTGCTCGGCCCGCCCCCGCCGGGAGGGGCCCGGGAGCCTCAGCCCGCCCGGGGGCCTCAGGGGCCGGGCGCAGACCAGTGAGTGCCCGGGCGGGGCGGCGGGGCGGCTCCTTGGGCTGCGCCCCGGGCGCGAGGCAGACAGGGGGCGTCGGCCAGGGCTGTGCGGGCTCCAGGGAGCCGGGCTCTGTCCTGTCCAGGGTGTGGGACTCCGCGTCGGGGGCGCCCCACCCGCGCCCTCCCCGCGCCCCGCATGTGGAGACCAGGGGACACTGCGCAGGGGTGAGGGGAGCTGAGCCCGCCCCGTGGACCGGGGCTCCTCCTGGGGGCACTGAGGGCGGGCGCGCCCCGCCTGTGTCCACCCCGGGCAGGCCGCCCCTGCTGGCATATGGGGAGCAAGTGGGGTGCTCAGGGGCGCGGGGGAGGCGCAGGGCGTGGGCTCAGGCAGCCTCAGGTGCTTGCAGACCTCAGGGTTCCCAGCTCCGTGTCCATCTCGCTGTCAGGTGCCAGTGGAGGCTGCACCTGAGGCCGCTGCACAGAAACCTGTGCTCCTGGGCGCTTCTGGGGAGGGGGGTGAGGGGGGGTGGTAGGGGGAGGGGGGAGGGGCGGGGCTGGGACCCACGGGGGTTCAGCCCCCTCAGGGGTCTGTGCAGGGTCCCTGCTCATCCATCCTGGACAAGGGCTGGCCGGGCTTCTGGTTTGCCCCAAGGTGGACAGAAGTTGAGGGCAACTGGGCACCGGCTACTTGGGGTTCAGGTCTGAGGCGGGGCGCTCCCCCCACCCCACCCTGCTGTGATGACCACCGTCCAACGCCGCGGCCAGCGCGTGTCCAGGAGGGTCAGAGCGGCCGGGGAGGGGACACCCCCTGCCTTGGCCCCCAGACATGTCACCAGTGAAGGGGTTTCTGCAGCAGCTAGTGAGGCCCAACAGCAGGTAAGAGGCACAGCAGGGCAGGTCACTCCAGGCCAGGGCGCCAGGCCCATCCCTGGTCCGAGGAGAGGGGCTCTGGGGTGTCCCAGCAGGAAGGTGAGTGGGGTGCTTGCGCCCCATGATGCTCAGGAGCCTGTCGTCTGTGTTCTGGAAGTTCCTCTGTAAATCTGGTGCCCCAGGTGGGTCCAAATGTGGCCTCTTTTCATTTCATTTCCTCACCCAAGTCCCGGTTTCCTTTTTGTATCCTTCTTTATATGTTCATTGCTATCCCTGGACACTATTTAAGGGAGGTTATTTCCATGTTGTTCATTTTCATATTTTTCCTCCAGTCAAATTAAATCAGAATCAGCAGCCCTGGTGA